GGTTGTTGTGGAGACCCAGAGTTTGGAGTTGTGGCATGTCCCTGAGACCCTCCCAGGGGAAGGATGTCAGGAGGTTGCCATCCAGGCGCAGCTCTCGCAGGGCCTTGAGGTTGACAAAGCTGCTGGGGTGTATGGACGTGATGGAGTTGTAGACCAGCCACAGGAACTGCAGCTCTGACAGATTGTAGAAGGCTGCCCGGGGCACCCTGGAGATCAAGGTCTTCTCTAGACGCAGTTTGACTGTGTCAGCTGGGACATTGATGGGAACAGCTAAGATTCCAGGGTCATTGCACTGCACCAACTTGCTGTTAAACAAAGATATGATTTTTGTTTATATTCTGAAAGGTTATAGTTTTTCACTCTCTATATAATGATACATTGCTGTGAGAAGTTTACATTTGAAACAAGCATTTGTGTGCAGTTTTCTAACCAGAATATTTTTCATAACATTCATAAGTGAATTATCTGTCCTCCTATTTTATTGGAATATTGCTCCTGTTACATGGGTTTTGGAGTGTGTCACACACTAGTAGAAGTTCTGCAGTAAGTGTTTATTATTAATACATTTACATGTACTCATTTACATGCTTTATTGATCCAACAGAGGGAAAAACTACAGCTTCCACTACCCCTTTAATGCTATTTAAGTGACAGAAAGAAAGAGAATGCTGACTTAAAATAAGAAGTTAACGTCTGCACATATTCACGCAAAAAAGTTGATTTCGTTGTTTGTATAAATCACATTGTAATTTATTTAATCATTTTTCCATTCAAACATGAATAGTTTAATTACAGAATAAAGAAATTGAAAATAAATTGACAAAAATGTCTTTAATTTTATTCATTTCAACTTATAATTTTTTTTAAATTGATGTATTTATAAACTAACCATAATTAAACAAAGTGCAATTAATTATTGAATCAATTGTCAAATGAAAATCAATTATTCCCCTGGCTCTGCCTAGTTTCCATATTACTGCCACCAGTAAATGACATGGTGCCTTTAACTAACTAAAATATAAACAAAAAAATTATGTGTATTTTATATATCAAAAAAATACATTTCATGCTATAGATTATTTATTTGATTTGCATTTAGCAATATTATTATATTTACACAATATCACAAGTATCTAAAAATAATAGTCGTCAAATTTGTTGATAATTAATAATTTGATGATTAAATGAAATTATGGGATTAAAAATGTCTCTTTTCTTTAAGAATGAAAATAATGTATTTATTTGACTTAAGAAAATATTCTTGAAATTCAATTATAAATAAATAATTGTCATTTTTACTCATAAATGTTTTATTCATTACAATCAAACACCAAAAAATGTTGACTATGCAATATTTCTGATGGCACATCCTCCATACATACAGATGGTCTTCAGGAAGTAAATATCTTTTCATGAATAGAATCACATTGCTTTCAGATCACTGTATGTATACACGATGTGGCATTGTTATAGTATTGATACTTCTCTGTTAGTGGGCACCAAATTTTGTTGTGATAAGATGACTGCAGTCCTGTTCCTGTGCATATTAACCACTATTGTACAGAATGTAAACTACTGTGCAAATGATGGACCGTATGAGAACTGTTCTTTTTGTCATGCAGGATGTGATTCAATGATTTGTAAACATTTAATGACGTTTATAGCATTCGTTGCAATAGCACTGTAGCATTGGCTGAAATAGAGCTTTGATAATATTATTAAGATAAGAAAATAACCGGCTGAGTTCTATTCATGGAGAGACAAATCACTTAAACACGAACACACAGAGATGAGAATGACTCCACCTGAGTTCTGCTATTCCACTGCTCCCATACGTGCACGCACAAAAAGCCGGGCATGATTGGACTGCCAACAGAGACGACTGCAAGATGTGAGCAAGGAGCAGCAGATACATCCTTCAACAGACGAGCCCCGTTCTCCGGCAGGCCATTTGTTTCTCCATATTCCCAGTACTTCTCAGTCTGAGACTGTGCTCAGGGTGCAGAGTGAAACAGAATCCCAGATTAGCTGGGATTACACTGTGTTCATGCGGAGTGTAATCCCACGCCTCACTGTCAGAAGAAGAAATCACAACATCAGGGCCAGACCGAGCCTTTTAGGCATCACAGAAAATGAAACACCATCCCCCTGTAGAGTCCTGTTGAATATTGTTATTTAGTCCTGAACGTTAACACACTAAATTAACATAATGAATAAAATACTAATATTGATTTAACTAAATTAAATCATTAAAAACCATTGAAGCCCTGCATTCATAATTTCCCTGGAGTAAAATAAATGCAAGTTTTTCATGAATACGTTTCTGTGTGCAATGCCTGCTCATTACGAAACTGTTGGGTTTCTCAATCATTTTGGAAGGTCTCCACCTTACTATGTAAAGTGCCTTAAGATAATGCATACAAACAAAACTGCACTGAATTAAATTCCTGAAAACTGACCAATAACGTCAGTAGAAGTGTTTATTATCCCAGTATAGGCTGATATGAGTAATATGGTTCAGAATCATTAGATTTTGGAAAAAATAATTTGGAAGATTGATGTTGTGACTCTGACAGAGGTAAGACAGATATGTCAGGAGAACAGAGGTATAGTTTTTGTGGATACCAACTCATAACTGACATGAAATAATTAAAAACAAAACAGGTTGAACTGCAATGCCAATAAGTAAACAACTTGTGTTTAAAGTTACTCAATATATGATCATTTGAGAGACACTTACAAAAGAGTCAGCTGGAGAAGTAATGACAAACATGTTAGCAATATATAATTGCCAACAAGAATAACATCTACAGTATCCTCACTGGAAACTGGGCTGATAACAAGTTTATGGAACTGTAAAACAGTCGGCACCAATGTTCTGTTAGTTTACAACTCTCCAATAAAACCAAAGAACAAGGTCAAGCTTTCTTAACAACTATTCTTTGACCTTGATGGGGTCAAGGAAGAGTGTGAAGGAGAAACATCTTGTTTTTGATGTTGTATTTTGTTGTAATGATGATATTGTGAACTGTAAGTTCAATATGCTTGTTCTTCAACATTACTGTTGACTGGACAGGTGTGAGAGGAAATACAGCTTATATTAATGGATTTGGTGCATCACTTTAAATGTTGCTACTTCATTGTGGGACAACATTGTCTCGCCTACTTTCATCTCTTCTTTCTTTCATCCTCTGGAGAAAATACAGAGGAACTGCAGAGTTCAGTACATGTCTGAAAGCAACTCTAAAGGATGGTCCAGCTACTTGTATCATCACTGCTGACAACATCCATGGCTGACACCAAGTTATTTTCAGACCAGGCATTAGGAAAAAGAAAATAGATTTTAAAATAAAAGCAATAAACTTGATTTCAAGTTAGTCAGCCTGTGTGTCTGTCTGTTAATAATGAATCAGTTAAAGCGACAAGCGGCCTCAAGACTGATCCCTGAAATTAAAGATAATGAAGGTAACCTGGTAACAAATCCACAGGGAATTAATACGGTCTTTGAGTCCCATTACATTAAACTGTACACTTCTGAATTTACATCGAGTAAAGGGCAAATAATAATCAATAGACAAATAAAATTGCTGAGCTAAACCGGACTGCAGAATTAGAAGAGCTCCAGGGGCCAATTTCATCTATGCAGAGTGGAAAGACTCCAGGGCCTGATGGCTTTATGGCAGAGTTTTTAAAACAATTTAAGGATAAGCGTTCTCCAATTCTTTAAGGAATGTTCCAGAAGTCACTGACAACCATGTCCCCTACTAGCAATCTTTGGAGTGCCGGCTAAATCTACCTGATACGGGGCTAAAGCAAGGGACATTATTGCCTTCACCACTCCATTTCCATTGTGATTAACTAAAAATGGGGGAAAAGATGGAAGTAATGGATCTTTAAATTCGGTGTCACGTTAAACACTTCCTTGAAAAAAGTATAAGATAAAAAAAGAATGGTTGAATGAATAAACAAATAGATCTTATAATACAACTGTGGTGGAGAGGGGGAGTTTTTCACTGACAGTCAGTCATATTAGTGCTCAACAGTCAAATTGTTTTTTTTAACTATATTGTAGCGATCGATGAGCTTCTCTATTGAACAGCACGTGTGCAGAGGCTCATGGGACCGTTCGGGTCCTAGTTAAGTGTGGCTGTCTCGTCATTAGTTTAGTAATGTTATGTTGATGTTCTGACTTGATCGTATGTGAACTATTCAGAATAGTTTATATTCACTTTACGTTTAGTGAGAAATGCAGCCACCATGACTGTTGGATGTGGTGTCTTTTGTTGTATTGCTCTCACTAATAACTTGACAGTCATGACAGCTTTGGTGCTGCAGAATGAGTTTCTTTGCTCAAAGCCTTCAATTGAAACGATAACCTCCCACTGAAATGCATATTGATTTAGATAAATCACTCTGGAATAAATCACTGGATCTCAATTTGAACTAACAAACATTAGTAGTTCTTTTAATTTATATTTTTATATTTCGACTCATATTTACTTATATTGTTCGTTTATTTGTACTTGACTGACAGACTTAAAGGTCCAGTGTGTAAGATTTAGGTGAAAGGGAACTATTGGCAGAATAATCCTCATGATGTTTTCACTGGGTCGTTTCATCTAAATTGTATGAATTGTAGTTTTCTTTACCCCAGAAAAGGTTCTTCATATTTAAATACTTTATATTGACATCGAGGGAGTCCTCTCTACGGAGGCCGCCATGTTTTTTACATTAGTCCAGACTGAAAAACTAAACACCTTTTGAGTTTTTATGACAATTAAAGGCTACCACAGGTTCTTTTTCATGTTTGGAAGGAGAGGGTGAGGTGAGGGGTGTTCAGCTGCAACATGCAACTTCAACACTAGATATCACTAAATTCTGCACACTGTACCTTTAAAGAATAATAAAAGTCACGTCTACCGGAAGTTGCTTATATTTTGAAATCTGTTCTTCCGCGTGCTTACCGTAATGCTCAGTACAGACAGGCACCGCTGAACAAAGCTGACTTGGCCTTGACTGTGTTCCGGAGTGAACCCTGGCTCTACCGCGGAGTAAAATGTCCGCTGCACCGGCTGTCAGTGATCGGCATGTTCTTCACCGACGTGAACCTGAGGACCCACCGGCGGTGAGCCGGAGAGGAGGCGGACCCGCTGCTCCACGACAGCCCGCGCCACACCACCAGCGACACCGGGTAAAGCAGCTTTTCAGCGGCTCTCATGCTAACCGTGTCGTCGGAGCGCGGGACCCCCGTGCAGCAGGTGTCAGGAGCGTCTCACTGGCTCGTGGCTCCGCTCCCAGAGGAGCTGTGATCGTGGCTCTCATCCATCCCAGTGGAGGTCCTGTTAAAACTAGCAACCGCGGCTCCTCAGCCAAACTCCATTCAGAAATCGAACTCTTAAATCAACACGCGGTCGAAAATGAGTGTCACAGCATCTAAAGAACATGACTCGTGTATATAAAGCGGTATCATGATCACGTACAGAAATCGGGATGTATATGAGACTCGTATGTAATATCTAGAAGAGCTGCCGTAGTTTACTACACGTGATGAGAAAAGGACTTTTTATCTTTTAAACGTGTCGTGTCGTGGTGTGCGAGGCGTGGGTGTGGTTATAGGGCACTAAGGGCAGCTCAGCAGCTTTAGATGAGATGCTGTCTCCGTGCTAACTGTGGCATGGTCATCACAACGAGAGGAAACGTCATGTGACAGGTTGTCATCATGAGCTCAGACATAATCTTCACAAAGTCAGAAAGAAGCTCACCGACAGTGAATCTGCAGCTGTAGTTTGTTGACTTCTGACACCAAACATGGAAACGTTAGCCCAGAGATACTGTATACATGCCATGATTGGTATGACGTATGGTTCAAATCACTGTCACACATGTGACACATGTGTGATTCACATGAGTTTACCTCCCCTGAAATGAAGCTTCAAAGTTTTAGTCTGTAAAGAGTTTA